TCCGGGTTTGCAGACGAAGGCCCAGGTGGCTCTTCACTCAGGGCTCATCCGTTATCTGTATGAAGAGCTAGTGCCTCTCCTGAGTAGATTTTTTAAAAAGCTAACCTACCTTTGGACAAAAATGCATTATACAGAAAGCAGCGCCTTTTGCTCTCAGTTCTTTCCCTATTTCCTTATCTCTTCTTTCCTTATTTCTTTACTTCCCATCAAATACATCCCGCATATCTTTCTTTGAAAAGGTTGCCTACTGAATCCTGTGTTCCAAATGCAAACTGCTGAGTTTTAACTTTCTGTCGTCCTTTCTGAAGCAGCAGCACCATGCTGACAGGCTCCTCTAAAGAATATCCTCTCCCTGCCCTGCTACTGCCTCCATGTTCCTAACTCAGCATTCGGGTATTTTTGCAACATATATTTAGTTTGAAAGATAATACTGATAACTTGTTTTATATGAACCTTTATACATTAGGACCCTGCAGAGGGACTGACTTCATTGGGATACTTTATGGCCGAATACATCTGAATGATTTATATCTCGTTTTGTCTAAGCATTTATGCTAATAAATTTAACAGATTCCCCGGTACTGCCGGGTCCTTCATTTCTTCAGGGGGTCAAAGTGAGAGGAAAAGAAAGCAGCGTGTTACTAAAGAAAGGAGGAAGAAACTGGCCCAACCAATTTAAAACAAATAAAATTAGAACACAAATAAAATCTCTGATTACAGTTAATTTGGAGCAACGGTCAAAAAAGTCCCTAGATCCAGATAGATTTCTGTAATTAAGCTGTTTCTCAAAGGCCGAATCACAAAAGTGACAATATTTAGCAAGTTAACTTACCGAGGAATACTTTGGCTCTATATAATTAAATCCAACACTGAGGAAAAACTGACAACTATTAAACTGAGTGCAGCTGGGAGAGAGAAAGGGGATAAGATAAAATCCAGCCTATAAAATATGTTCCATTATCTTTTATAGGTTAAAAACACAAAAGAAATACTTGGAAAGAGTTTTCTGAGATGGAAAGATTTTAAGATTGTGTGGGGATTTTTTTTTTTTACAGGTGCACAGTAAACTGGGTGTTTTTTTTCTCTTGCTTTTTTTTTCTTTCCCCCATTTTTCCCCTGTTGTTTGCAAAGTTGAATCTGGGGTCAGGAGTTCTAATTGTAACCTCAGACTGGAATTCCAGATGGTGCGCTCAGGCCTGGAAGCCGCTCTCAGTTCATCAATTTCATGGGCCTACGTATCTGCTCTGGCCACGGCCCGGACTCCATCCCCACTGTGGCATTAATGCAGAACAAATTGAGACATATCCTCTATATAATTAGTTCCAGAATTTAAAAAGATTTACGGTATAAGAATAGAAGCCGCGCTGCTGAATCTTCTCATTGGGGACGCCCTGGGAGCTCGGGGACCATCTCCTGGTGGCATCAGGACAGACGGTTAACGATGCGAGCTGGGGGTCGGGGGTGATTTTTACGCGGCGACCGACAGTGCACGCCGCCTTCCAAACCGAGTCAGAGAATTGAGTGTTAAATATCGATGTGGGTACTGGTCAAAAGATCGAGTTAATTTTCAAATTAACAGAGGGAGCAGGCGGGGGACTGGGGATGGACTGTAACAGACGTCCCTCCCTCATTTTCAGTGTAAAGAAGTGTGATTTCTACCTCCAGCACGGGGTTGGAATGCAGCCTAAAAGCCTGTCCCGCAGCCCCGGGTGGGCAGATCCTTCCGAGTTGCAGTCGGCGGGGCACGGAGCATCGTCATCAGCGGTCAGGCAGCTGATGCTGCGCGTGGCATTCCGGGCGCTGGCCCCTGCTCTTCCCGGCGCGGGCAGGAGGTCTCGACTCTTGACAGATCGCAGCGCTTCTCTGTGTTTATTCAGTTGTCGGCAGCCGCGAGGTGACGCACTGAGCGCAGCCCGGGAGTACGCGCTGGTCCCTGGGGCCGCGGCTGCAGGGCCCGGCGCAGGGCTTGGTCTGCTGCAGCTCACAGAGCCAGGGTCAAAGTGGAGGGATTGTAGGTTTTCACCGCCCCCTCCCACTCAGTCGCGATTTTTTGATCTTGCCATAATTAAGCACCTTTCAGGCCAGGGTGCACTTTACCGATTGTCCAAATCCGCGTAGGTTCCAGCGTCTCTCTCTCCCATTCTTCATTCCCCATACCATTCGCTCCAGAGAGGCAGAGGAATGAATGGTAGTGGGTAAAGCCCCGAGTTGGACATCGGGAGATCTGGGTTTCAGCTCCGCTCTACCACTAACTTGCTACGTATCCTCGAACAATAATGGTTAAAAAATTGTAACGTTTATTGTGTACATAGGCCAGCACTAGTCTCTTCTATACTGCTCAGGACCCCAGGTGAGCGCTACCATCACATTATCCATTTGACCCATTAGGAAACTGAGGCTCACAGAAGCTATGAAAATCATGGCTACTCAGCTGTTGGTGACCCGGTAGAACCGATGTTCCCTTCTTTGGCTACCAATTCCTTGCTCGTAACTGCTGAATTCTACAGTTGCCCCCCCCCACCCACCCACTGTCTGGGCCTCAGTTTCCTCCTATGTAGAACCAGGAGTTGAATTTCTGTCTCTGCTAATCGGTGGCGCAAACAAGATCCGCTGCACCACAGGTTTCCGAGCTGACTAGGTAGGAAGGCGGGTGAGAGAAGGGTGCGCCCAGGCCTCCGCAGCCCGCGTTTCCCCTGGACTTCGGTCAGGCTTCCACCCGCGGGAGGTGCCACAGAGCGCCTACCTGGCCGGGCTGGTGGAAGATGGACCTTCCTCCCGACCAAACTGTCTGCCCCTTCGCTCAGCTCAGAGAGCCGAGGGCGGCGTGGCGGGCGCAGACGTCTGGGTAACCGCAGAGAAGTTACCCCGGAGGAGTGGGGAGCGTGGGCACCCTGCAACCACAGTAGTTCGCGGATTCCCCAGCGTCAGCCCCGGGTTGCCTGGGCCCCCGGGCATGCGGATGGGGGTGGGCGTTCAGAGACTGGAGGCTCTGCATTTCTGGATCCCACCTCTTCGGGCTACGAGGTCCGGGCAAGGGGGCACTCCAAGGTCGAAATGGGGCATTCATTCATTCATTTATATTTAAATGTAAGGGCAGAGAATCAAACGCCTTTGCCTAGTATGTGGTTCAGAAACGCGAAAGGTCACATTCACCCTATCCTCTTCCAAATATTCCCCCCAAACTTGCAAACGAGAATAAGAGAGAAAGAATCTTGACCTTTCGTTTGGAAATTGAAATCCCTGGCTTTTCATAAAAGATTCGCCTTCCCTTGTAGCGGTTGAGTGAGCCTTGGTTAAGAAAAATAACTTCAAAGTAGAAATAAAATTGGGAGGTGGGAAAGGGGTCTGGGGCGTTCCAGGGACAACTTGGTATCCTAAGTTTTGTCTGGCTGGGCCCTTCTCCACCAAAAAGTCCAAATGCAGATGCCCTCCGTCCAGCCCTCCAGCCCCGTGGCCAGCTGAGAGATGGGGCTTGCCGGCGAGGGCGCCCACGGAGTGTAGGGGTGACAAACAGCTGGCCTCTAGAGCTTGTTCATTACTTTAAAAAGCTTCTGAGTGGAGACGACTCAAAGGCAGGCACTAAAATAGCACAGAAAGGTGTCCACAACCGCAATAGTGGCCGGGGGAGCAAGCAGGAACCGCGTGTTCCCGACCTTTGCCCTCAGGGTCTCCTGCGCCTCCGGGACCAGCGACCCCAAGAGGAGAGAATTGCGCTTAGCGTGTAGGCCTTGAGCGCGCACACGCTTTGGGTCAGCTGCCAGAACTCACGGCTACTTCGTTTACTCACTGCAAATTAACTAAAATCGAAGCGTCAGGCATGGGGAGTAAGTCAAGGCTTTTAAAACTCTCGGTTTCTTTTTAAAACTCTAACTGCCTTCACCGTTGCTTCACACGGGCTTGGCTGGAACGCTTCGGGCCCCATCCCGGACCAGCCTGGTGTAAAAGTCCTGGCGGCAAACCGCCGCTTCCTGCCGTCCCAGGCTGCGCCGTCGCCGCTGCCCCGGGCTCTCCTGGGCGTTTCCACGCGCCCCTGAAACACACTCCAGCCAGGGGTCGCGGCGCTTCTTGTTGCCTAGAGTCAGTCCCCACATAGATACTGACTTATTTTTGGAAACAAAACAGCACAAATCTCAGAACACTTGCTTTGAAGTGAGGGGGGGGGTCCCCAGAGAGTGACTAGGTGGAGGGGGAGTTTGCTTTGGAGATGCCGGGATCCCGGAGCTCCCCATGGCGCGAACACTGGCTTGGAACGTGGGCGTCCCGAGGCTCTCCTCCTTGGTTCGCCCAAGTTGCGTGCGTTTCCTGATCAGTCACTGAATTCGGAATGATATTCCCGACCGTGGATGGAGGCTGAGCTCCTGGCTCCGGAAACCAACCCGCTCCCCCCCCCCCCCGCCCCGGGCTTCGTACCCCAAACCTGCCCAACCCCAAACTGGGAGCCAGGATTCTCTGGTGGGAATATTTGGAGGCTGTGAACGTTCCCCTAAGGGTTTTCTTCTTTCCCAAACTAGCCACTATTTTCCCGGCTTCACCGTAGAAGAATTAGATACCCCTCACTGTAAAAGAAGGTTAAATGCCGCTGACACCAATGTTAGGTAGGCGGCTAGTAACCGCCTACCTAGTAATTGGTAGTAACCTCCAAGTAACCAATTACTAGACGGCCGAAGTACGCCCCGTTTACCACCACTGAAGGAACCCCTCCAAGTCACCCACATTTGCCTGGAGTGTGACCTCCAGAACCCACCAGGGGCCACGCCCCTTCCCAGGGATCCCGAGATTAGGACCGACCCCAGCCCGACAGCCCCGAGAGCGAGAGCTGGACAAGTGAGCGCCGGGCAAGCGAATCCGCCTCCTCGGAGTCCGGGAAAGTTCTCAGCCCTTTCCAGAAGTTCCCGCCCTCGTAGAGCCCCCTGCCCCTCCCTCCAACCCGCCCTCTTAGATTAACAACCCCATCCCTACCTCCGTCACCCTTAGTTGCAGAGGGGACATTCGTCGCTCACCTGGAGAGACTCGCCAGTGCCTCGAGTCGCCCACGCTCGCGAAGGCGGAGAAGGGGAGGGGAGAGGGTTGTGTCCCACAGGCCAGCCGAGAGCGCGTGGCAGGTAGGAGAGGAAGGTGTCTCCGAGAGGGACGCTCCCTCAGGCGCGCCCCCCACCCGCACTGCGAGGGCGCCCCCGAGGAGCCGCGCGCACTGCCCGGACCCAACTGGGCTGGGATGTGAATGGAGCGGCCAACACTCCTGGCTCCTCCTCCTCCCACGCCGCCGGCCCCTCTTATTTGAGCTTTGGGAAGCTGGGGGCAGCCAGGCAGCTTGGGTAAGGAGTTCAAGGCAGCGCCCACGCCCGCGTGTCCTCCGAAACCCGACCGCCTGTCCGCTCCCCCGTTCCCGTCCGCCCTCCCACTCATTCAGCCACCCACCCACCCAGAGCCGGGCCTGCGGCTCAGGAACCCGGGCCCCTCCGCCTCCTCGCCGCGATCCTGGACTTCCTCCTGCCGCCAGAGCCGGCTTCCACGTGTATCCTGGAGCCGGCGTCTTCGCACACGCTCCGCTCTGGACCTGGGTGTCTTCAGCAGCCTGAGCAGTCGGGGATCCGGGGCCCCGGGGCCATCTGGGCCAAGTTAGGCGTGGCCGAGTCGAGCACCGAGCGCCGGCAAGACCTGCGGAGTCGGGGGACGTCCGGGGCCGAGCTGCAGCAAATGGGCTCCGACTTGCGGGACCTGAACGCGCTGCTGCCTGCGGTACCCTCGCTGGGCGGCGGCGGGGGCTGCGCCCTGCCGGTGAGCGGCGCCGCGCAGTGGGCACCCGTGCTGGACTTCGCGCCCCCGGGGGCCTCGGCGTACAGTTCGTTGGGCGGCCCTGCCCCTCCGCCGGCTCCGCCGCCACCCCCGCCGCCGCCGCCGCCGCACTCCTTTATCAAACAGGAGCCGAGCTGGGGCGGCGCGGAGCCGCACGAAGAGCAGTGCTTGAGCGCCTTCACCGTCCACTTCTCCGGCCAGTTCACGGGCACAGCTGGAGCCTGTCGCTACGGACCCTTCGGTCCTCCCCCACCCAGCCAGACGTCCTCCGGCCAGGCCAGGATGTTCCCCAACGCGCCCTACCTGCCCAGCTGCCTCGAAAGCCAGCCCGCTATTCGAAACCAGGGTAAGGCGGCCGGGGAGCGCCCCCTACGCGCGGGGCGGTGGCGAGGGGCCGCCCGGGGCGCCCGCACTCTGCCCAACCCCTCCCGGACCCCCGCTCTCACCCGCCGCCGCCCCGAGGACCGTGAGGACAGCGGGAGCAGCCGCTGGGGAAGCGGAGGCCGGGGAGAGGGGGGACTCCCCGGCACCGGCTCCTGACATCCTCGGGAGCCGGGCTGTTCGCTTGAGGCGGGAGGTCTTCCGGGGTCCCCTCCGAACCCCGGAGATTCCGGGACCGCGAACGCCCTTGGGAGAGGGAAGGGGGGAATCTGTGCAGGGTCTGGCTGTGCCTCGGAAGCGGTTTTGTCACCCAGGGCGCCGCCAAACTGCCCCTTGGCAGTTTAGACAGACTGTGGGTTCAGAGTGGGACCGGCCCAAGCTGAGCAGCCCGTGCTGCCTCCGCAGCGCCCACTTGTCCGGGAACTGCTGTCGCCCTCGGTACGCGGCTGGCACAGTTAGACGCGCGGTAGGTGCGGTGGGACGCGGCGCCGAACCAAGGAACCGGCTAGCGACCAGTCGGCGGCTCTCCCGAAACTGCGGCCGGCTCGGTGTGCAAGCGGGTCTCTCCCAGGCTCAGGTGGCGGCCACGCGGGCTTCGGGGCTGGACGAGAAACCCAACTGTCCGGCTCCACGCTGTGCGGGGCCGGGCCCTGCTGTAGTCAGTGAAATAAGGCCCGAGCCCCAGGCGCCTCCTCGATGAGCCGGGCTCAGCTGCGGAGAGATTTTTGCAAGCCTTGGGCGTTAGAAGGACAGGTTTATTTTGTTCAGCCATCGTCCATCGAGGTTCACAGCCCTAGTTTGCTCGCTCCGCACTGGCGCCCGCACTTGTCTTTCACAGTCAGGAACCAGAACGGAACCAATCGTGCCCGGTAGTTTGGTTTCTAAATTTATTTTAATTGTTTTGTGCCCCCCCCCCCCGGGCTGTTGAGAACCTAAACCAGTCCGGGTTGATTCAGTATTTTAGGAAATACTTTACAAATGCAGTGGAGGATGCTTTTCCTGGAGCAACATTTCTCGCGGGCCTAGGGACTGGGACGCGTCTGGAATGCGTGGGGTGGTCGAAGCAGGGTGTGTGCTGTTTGCAGGGGGTGCTGGGTCTCCCCAGACCGAGGTCGTGCTCAGCGTCTAAACGCTCCCTCCAGGTGGTCTGCCCTTACCCGAGCCCAGCCAGGAGCATCCGGTCTCAAGAAGCCCTGGCGAAAGCGAAACTGCCCTCCTCTCCTCGTCCTGGGAATCTGGGCTCCCTGTCCCTTGAAGGACAATGAAGCCCATGCGACTCCCAGGTCCCTTCACGGTAGCTCTTTCCAAGGGTGTTGGAACAGCTCAGTCCCTCTTAGAGGCCCGATCCTGCCACCTCTGATTAGCAGGCTGGTGTACCTTTGGCAAATCCCCAGGTGTCAGTTTTCCAACCTGTAAGTGGGGGCTTGAGAGGGACACCTCGGATAGTGGGTTGGGTGTGGTGATCTGTGCAGAAAGACTTTCTCTCCTTGCAGGTTCTCAATACAGAAGGCAGAGCCTCCCCCTAAACTCGCCTCGGGCTGGTCTGGCCACGAATGGCAGGCAGGTGTGTGATGTGTTTCTGTGTAGATGTGTGTGCTGTGTGGAAAGGCCTGAGAAACCATTGATTAAGGCCTCCTGACAGCAAAACACTATTGCGTCATTATCGTTTGTTTGGGTCCATCCAGGTACTGTGAACCTTTTTGGAACCTGGGCTGTGTTGCTTTGTTTGGGCCCCATGTCCAGCCGTCCAGGTCAGATCTGTTGCCTGGGGTCCCACCAACCCAGTGTGGAATGAGGAGGCCAACTGTTGGCTCCCTAGCCAGTGGGCACTAAGACAGTAGATAGGCCGGCTGCCAAGAGAAAAAGGTTTGGGAGCTGGATGCCAGGATGAAAAGGTGAAGAAGCTCCTTCTCTCCACCCCAGGAGAACCGCAGTGGAGGACTGGCCTTTGGGCAGAGGGGGCACAGCCTATAAGCCCGATTCTGTCTGTGGGCTTCGTTTTCTCTTGCGGTGAAAACGTGAATGGGCCACTGGCTCAGCTCTTGGGACTCACTTGGCAGCTGGGAGCTGGGGTGGGATGTCCGAAGCTGTTCCCGCTTCAGCCCTGGTGCCGGCCCTGAAGTCTGGAGGTTTCTGATTTATTCTCTCGACTTCTGGGGTTTTTCTGCGGCTCTTCCAGGAACGTAGGGACTGGTGAGAAGCTTGGGTTGAGGGAAGCTGGGGCGTCAGCTCCTTTCCCAAAGTGTGAGAATGGCCATCAGCAGCCCCAGGCCAGACTCCAGTGGACAGGCGTCCAGACCCGGATTCTCAGCCCCAAACAGGGCAGCCTGGCCATCGCCCACAAGAGAGGACGATTTCTGGCACCTTCTCACCACCCCCACCCCCGCTTTTTCCTGTTCCTTGAGAATATGTTTTTCCTATTTCTTAAAAACATTTATAGCTGATGTCTTAACCTTACTTCTAAACACGAGTTCTGCAAACATTATTGAACACCTACTCATGCAAGACACGGAGGACTGAATATCCAGACTACGTGCCTCGACCTTACCCGAAGCTGGTAGCCTGGCATTGGAGGAGCCCCTTATTCTTGGATAAGGACATTTAAATTCTAACCAGTTAGGTGCATGCAAGACATCTCAGTTTGTGGCAGAGCTGGCACTCAAACCCAGACCACCGAAGGCTGTTTCTACCTATTTTCCCAGAGATCTGGGCCCACTGTTGACATGGGTTCCTCCCTCCCACTAGATGGACACCAAACCCACCCTAGTCGGTATGTGAGGGGTTGCCCAGGCCGAAGTGGGGTGAAGCCTGGGGCAGCCCCAGATTAAGTGCTGGCGTTCAGGGAAGGGAAAGTTGCTTGGGAGTCAGGCGGGCTCCCCAAGCCCGACTGCAGCACAGACCCAAAACGCGAGAGGAGGCCTTGGCATTGCCAGCCACCCTAAGGTCACTGGGGAGACCAGCCTGCCCCAAGGGCCGAGGGCGCCCTCCTTGGGTCGCACTGGAGAGGTCATTTAGTTGTGGGACAGGTTCTCCCGTATTCTCCGGTAGCTGAGGAATCATCAGTGTCAGCCCTCTGACCCGACTACCTTCCTGACAGAGCCTGCTGTCCGCTGCACCCCCAGCTCCCGGGCGGGGTGGGGGCTGGGGACACCGGCCGGGTCGGGTGCATCCTGGACTCCTCACTGCGGTGGGTGGGGGAGGGAGGCGCAGAGCGTCTTCCCTCTCCTCGCGGTCAAGGTTGCACTCCCTCCCCGGCCGAGACTAACCGTGGGAAAGGCGCTACCTTGGATGCTGGAGCCTCCTCCTCTAAGGCCTGGACAAGCTGTACAAGGAGCCTTTGAACACGCTGCCCCTTTCTGCCCGCAGCTGTCCCCTCCCGGAGCCCCTGCCCCGCGCTCTGCGCCGCAGACGTAGGGTGAAGCCTCCGCACAGCGCGCTCCAATCAGTCCCGCGCCAGATAAGCTTCTAATTAAAAGAGCCCTCCCTCCTTGGCCCCAGCTTTCAGGAAACACTGCCCCTCCCGAGGAAACTAAAGCAGAGGGTGGGAGGCTAGACCACGTCTACCCGGGTGTGCGTGTCGGGTCTGGGAGGGGCCCTGCGGAGCCTCGCGGGGCGTGCAGACCACGCTGCAGCCCGCACCCGCGGCTTCGCTGCTAACCCGCAGTCGCGGGGCCTGCCTCGGGAGACCGCACAGGGCCCGGGGCCACTGCTGACTCTGCGGCTCAGAAATGCAGAAGGGTTCCTCGAGAGGCAATTTCTTTGTCGCTTCCGTTTCTTCTTTTTTTTTTTTTCCCTTTCAAAATTTGGCCTTTGCTCTGCAAAATGGGGTGCTAGGAGCCAAATTTCGTTTGTAAGCTGATCGATAGGCCTTTTGCAGAGCCCGGCCTCCGCTCCCAAAAGGAAGCGCCTGGAAGCCCCAGCGCGCTAACCCACGCCTGACAGCGGGGCGGGGGTTATCTCTGCCCACTTAGCAGGCGAGAACTGCAGGCCTCCGGGTCGTGCAAAGTGTAGGAGCTGGTGGCTTCCTAAACCGTCGTCCTGTGGCGCCTATTGGTGCCTGACACTTGGCTCGCTCTGTACGGCCCGGTAATGAAGACCTGCCCCAACCCTCCCTCCCACTCTGACAAACCACATGCCCCGAGTGGGCCCCGTGGAAGCTCTGTGTCCGTTCGGGGGGTTCTGTTTCAAAGATGGGGCAATGGCCTCCTTTCTCTGTCCAGCCTGTCTTCTGAGGCACTTGTTGCAGAGGGACCATGCCTAGGGATTGAGGACTGTGGGACCCCAGTCCCAAGAGTTAAGCGGGGTCTGGTGACCCAGCGCAGGAGCAAGGGTGGGGGTGGGGGACCGGGGCCAGCCGGGTGGTCCTACAGGGAGCCGTGGAGAGCGTCTCCGCCAATCTCATTTATCTCGTGGCCTGGACCTCAGGCCAGAGACCCCTGAGATGGGGGGGCCCTGCCACTGAGTCCCGGGGCCCAGGACCCACCCTCCTCCCAGCCCCGGGGCCCTTTTCCCCCGAGGCTACAACTCTTTTCCTAGAAGCTGGAGGGACATATGTTTCAAGTAGTTTAAAATCACTAATCATAGGAGGAGACTACATTTTTCAACGGAGACATCACATTATTGTTTTTTCTTACCTTCGGAGCGTTGGGGAAGAACACAGACGGCATTGCCTTCGATTTCTTGAAAGGGAAACTGAGGCAGAGCACCCCTGCGCTGCCGTGAGGTCCAGCGTTGAGGCCTGGTGCTGGAGGACGCTGGTCCCGCGCTTGTGGTCGGAATCGGACCCGCTGGGTGCGACGGGTCCTCGCAGGGGGGGAGGGGAGCACGCAGGGTCAAGGCTGGTGTGCCCCACGCGAAGGGCCCCTTCTTTCCCCCTCCCTGACTGTCCCGAGGGCCCGGGGTGTCATGGTGTCCGGTCGCCCAGCCTCAGACAGATAACATTACTCGGTCATTACTCTCCCCATTTAAAGCCCATGCCGTTCAACTGGCTCCGAGTAATTAATGAAAGTTAGTGCTCGAGCCCCTGATTTACGGCTCCGAGTCAGCGCGGGGTCAGTCGAGCCGATTCATTTCTCTCGCCGGCGCTGCCCCTGCGCGAGAGCCGCGGTGTCTGGTTTTGGGGGAGAACAACTTTCTCCGCCGAGTGGTTGGAGGTTTTCCTACTTCCTCGCCTGAGGTTCCGTCCAGGAGCAGCGGGCGGCCTGGAAGGCAAGGGCGTGAACGAGCCGGGAAACGGAGGGGAGGTCCGGGCTCCACCTGACGTCGGGCGGGGAGCCGGTCCTGGGGCCATACCTCGGGGCTTGGGCCAGCCTTCCCGCCCATAGCACTAGAGGCCGGTGGGTCGACCCAACCCTCGGCTGCGGTTCCGAATGCGCGGCCGGGGAGCCCCTCTGCACCGGGTCTGGTCCGGTCTGGACGCGCCCCGTCCACGTCTCCCCGTTGACGCTGTTCTTCCCTCTGCCGCCCCGCAGGTTACAGCACAGTCACCTTCGACGGGACGCCCAGCTACGGCCACACGCCCTCGCACCACGCGGCGCAGTTCCCCAACCACTCCTTCAAGCACGAGGACCCCATGGGCCAGCAGGGCTCCCTGGGTAAGCGGGCGGGAGTGGTGTGGGGGTCCTCCTCTCTGCGTCCGCGCCGCCCCTCCCGGTGAATCTCCCACCTACGGCAAACTGGGGAGGAGAGAAGAGAACGTGTAAAGGGAGTTTTAGAAACAATTAGCCCACTCTCTCAACGAAAAAGAAAAGATCTGTTCCTCCCTTCCCCCAAAGTACGTTAGGCATTGCTCCACCCAACCAAATCTGAGAATGTCCCAAGGGTCTTTTCCGTGCGTTAGGTAGTGACTTCTAAGAAAACGCAAAGTGGAAAGCTTGGCTCCTTCCGATCTGGACTCCCCCTCTCCGCACGCCAGGCGTCCGGGCCCCTTCACCCCCAGCGTAGCCTGGGAGCCCGGCTCAGGTTGCCCTCTCCAAGTCCCTGCCCGCCGCCGCGCACCCCGCGGCCTTCAGGGCGCGCTCACTCGGCTCTCCCCGGCTCTCCGCAGGTGAGCAGCAGTACTCCGTGCCGCCCCCCGTCTATGGCTGCCACACCCCCACCGACAGCTGCACCGGCAGCCAAGCCCTGCTGCTGAGGACGCCCTACAGCAGGTAGGATGGCACTGGGCACGGTGTCTGGGTCCCTGGAAGCCGGAGGGCGTGCAGGGTGTGGGCCGCAAACGACGCTTTCAGCCCGCCCGGCTACTTAGAGGAAATTAAAGCAGACCTCCAAGCTCTGATTGAGAGAAATAGATTTCCTCGTTTCCTGATTCTTATTTTGAATATAAATGAGCGCGGTTACTGTTTGGAACCGAACAAGAAAGAGAGGCGCTTTGGAAAGTTAACTTTTTTCAAGGGCTCTTTGCTGGGAGGATTTTAGCATCCTCGGGACCAAAGATTAAACACGGAGTCCACTGCCACGCGGTTCTCACTCTGCAAATCCCTTTCCGGCCACTGGCCAACTGGCCAGACCTCTGTGCGACCACTTCGAGGGCGCGCACCCTTGCGGAGCGGCGGGGCTGCCTGCGCCCTGCCCGCGCCGTTCGCTGCCGAGTGGGGGATGCGTTCCGGGGAAGCGGTCCTGCGCCGGCCCCTCTCCTGTTCTCGGGAGGCGGAAGGCAGCTTCTTTTCCTTCGAAGCTTTTTTCCTGTCCCTCGTGCCTCCTCTCGGCTCTGGCTCCACCCTCCACCTACTCTCCCTCAAATTTATTCTTCAACTTTGGGTGAACTTGGCCGGCATCCCGCGTCTCCGATAGGGTTGCCTAGTAACTGGCGCACACACCGGCCTGCGCCTGGCGGGGAGCTCGGGAGGAGGGGGGGCGGTGGCCGCTCGCCGCCTTCGAGGCCCGGGATTGGGCGCGCATTGCCTCAGTACCACCCCTACCCCTCACCCCGGCGCTGCGGCCACCCTGATACCGACTGCCCCCAAACTAGTCTCCGTCCTCCCTCCCCAGCGCTCCAGGACCCGGGGCTGACGTCAAGGGAAGGAGGTAGTGAGGTAATGAAGGAAGGAAAGCGCCTGCCCTGGGAGACTGGGTGGGGGAGTGGCCGCGCCTGGGGGACCTTCAGTCCCACAGGTGGAGGAGGGGAAGGAGGCTGTGCTCCGGAGCCCGAGGTGGCGCGTCCCCAAGTCGCGGTGTGCGTGTGAAATTGAGCCTAGGACTGGTCTGATTCTGCTGTCCCTTGGAAGTATGGGGCCGAGTTTTTCCCGCTTTTGTATGCCTGAGCTGCGTGGGCTTCGAAAACCTTTTATTTTGATTTGAAAATCCGGCATATCTAATCGAATCTTGGATTTGAGATCACGTTTTTTTCCCCTCCCCATTTCCTTTTCTTCCATTCTTCCTTCCTCCCTCCTTTTCTCCCTCTCTTCCTCCTTCCTTCCTTTTCTTTTCCCTTTTCTTTCAGAGAAAAAGATTTTGATTTAGGAATTAGAGGTGGATTTTGACTTAGGGCTCTAGAAAGAGACAGGGGGCAAAGAAATGCAGGCAGTTGCACAGGTGGAGATGAAGAGGTCACAACTCATCACCTTCCTATTCTCCCTTCCGAGCTCAAATCCGGTTCAGTTTTTCATCGCAGGCCCACTGTTTTGCCCCAAGCCTGCCATTGCTCTCTCTGTTCCTCCCCTCCTTGCTTGGGTCAGGTCAACGGAATGGATGCAGAATCCCCAACCATTCTCTGTGGTGATCATTTAGCAAAACTGGCCAGAGGTGCTCTTCCCCTTCTTGAAGAGCTGCTTCTGTGCATTGCCAGACTGGCTTTGCTATTACTCCCCCAGTAGCCATTGGGCGTGCAGTTGAAATGGCGTGCTCTTCCCTCCTTGACCCCGGCTTGGTGCCTCACTCCAGGTGGAGAAGACCTGATGCCTGAGTGGGTGCTGTTTAGATGAGCCAGGATACCCCTGGGACTTGGGGACTGAGAAGCTACTGGAGTCTGGTTCAGTAGTGATGTGCAGCTACACATATTTCTTGCTCTCCTTTCTCTGAAGCATAAACCCACCCTGTGGGACACCAGGAAAGGGCCCATCAGAGAGACTGAGCCACCCCCTCCCCGCAGAAACTGGAGTCAGGGATAAACTGATCACAAGCCTTGGTTTAATGGAGATTCTCCACTCTGAGTCTCTGGGGTGGATTTTGACTTGGGGCTACATTTGAGATTACTATAGAAGTAGGAAAAGTCACTTGAATTGCATTCTATACATAAAGTTTTCACAGTTTCCTAGTCCGGTTTCTAATCGGCCACTGTATAAAGCAATTTTGTCAGGTTCATCTTTTGGACGTACCTGCTTATCCATTTGCCCTTTCTGTTGAGTTGGCCAAAAAGTCTGTATGGCTTTTCTGTAAAATAAAAGACACATTTTTCATTTTCACCCATAACTTTGTTGATTTGAATATTTCGAGTGTGTGGGCTGTCTCCTACATGGTATAGTGTTGATTGTTCACAGGTAATGCTTCAGTTTAATCACTGTCAACTTCAGCTGGTCCACCTGACCCTGGAGCATCGTCCAGCGAGAAATCTCCAGCACGAAAGTTCACAACCACTTCTGACGCCTTTCGTCAGTCACAGCACCTTCTCCAAACACTGCACAAATCTGTTTTTGTGTTTCAATCCCATTTTTACTTTTCTTGAAATAATAAAGCATAAGTGTTGCATGTTTTCTCCTATCTTCAGCATTATAATAGCTACACAAAGATTCACTAATTTTGATAAGTTTTTAAAAAATGCATGCTGCTGTGACAGCTGCTACAATACAATCTAACAAAATTCTTTGAATGAAGTTAAAGACAATAGAGCCATTGTATGGAAAAAAACCCAAAGGAACTTTTTGGTCAACCTAATGCATAATTATAACTTTTTTGCTTCTCATTTTTATAAGTGTCGCAAAACACCATTTTCTCCTGTTACAGAACATTTCCTAAGCAGCAACATCTCCTAAAACAGAGTCTGTGACCCCAGTAGGAATAGAGTTTGTTCCCTTGAAGTTTGTACTGATTGCGTCTGTGGAGCTCCATCCACCCTAACGTCGCCAGATTTCAAATCACTGAGCAAAGATCAGGTACTTCGAACCGAAGGACACGTGATCAATGTGCACCGTTTAAGTAGCTGTGCCAACAGGTGTTTCACAGTATCTGCAGTAACTGACTTCTATCCACCTGTTACAACAGTTGTTGGTCCAGGAGGCTTCAGGTAGTGAAGTAATAAAGCAGGAATCCAGATGATAATTAGGTATCACGAAAAGAAGCTTGAAGGTTTAGGTTTAGGAAAAGAAGCCTGGTGTAGCAAGTACTTAATAAATGTTAAATGTTTATTGGTGGTGGTGTTTTTACTAGAAGGTTTATTGGCACTGCGGCTGAGGCCCTGTCTTCTCTCTGAGAGCTGGTGTCTTCTGTTCACTCTCCTTGAAAGAGGCGAAGTCTTTCTCCTCGGGCTGTCACCGTCTGGGGACCACTGTGTGCCCTCGTGTGCCCTTTTCATAGAAACAGTCTGGCGGGGGCCTCACGTGGAGCCCTTCCTTCTTCTCCCTCAACTCTCTGGGATGGGTGGCTTGGGAAGACAGAACCGTATAGGCATCTGACATGACGTTTAAGCAAATTGCTTTAAAAAATTCTCTGCAGTAACCTTGCCTGATGCTGCAAAACTAATTGTGCAATTATTTATCTTAATTGAAAAAAAAAAGATCAGGCACTTCTCCCACAGTAGTGATGAATGGACAGGTGTAGGGACATTTTAAGATTGGGTCTGTGCATCGATGTCACCACGGTTGTGTCATTTTCTTCTTTCCGATTTCTAAAAAAAGGTCTGAAAAGTTATTTAAATGCTTTGGGGGACACAATGTTTGAAAAAGCATAAAATATAGGACTGAACACTAATCACTGAATAACCTGACTTTTGGATTTTTGATATTCAGTGGTGCTATTCTGTCTGAAATTGGGAGCTTGTGGGAAAGGCTTGCTTGTATTTTGTTCGCCTCGTTGCAGCTGACCCTCTGAGGCAGACTGCCCAGCTTCTTCCCCACCCCTCTTCCCAAAGCGCTGTTCCCCAAACTTGGATTTAGTCTTCTTCCCCAGCACGAAGGAAAGATAATGGTACATATACAGACATTCAATAAGCAGTGCACAATGTGAATTTGCTTTGAGGAAATTCTCAGAATTCTCGACTCGTCAGGAGAGAAATTTACAAGAAGAGAAACGTGGTAAGTTCTGTCCTGTCTCTCAGGTAACAGACCTGAAGTGTTGCAGCCACACACATTTGTGTGTCGGTATAAACAGTACTGAGTAGAAAATGCCCCCAGTCAACTTGCGGGAAGTGGCAGGAGATGGTTTCCCCACCCTCCCTGACTCCCTGCCCCACCCCTCCCTGCCACATGTTGCAGGTGGGTAGAATTTTGTCTTTAGGCCCCTAAGGCTTATGAAACTAGATTCCAGTCCTTAGGGAAGCCCATGATCACACTGGGTGAAAGCTTGAGTCCCTGTAACACAGGGACTAGGATTTATTAGTGCGTGATCCCTGCCTGTGCTGAGTGCTTCACTCTCAGTTCATTCATTTAGTTCTCCTGATTAATCTATGAAGTGGATGCTCTAAACTGCATTCTACTGAGGAGGAAATAGATTTAGAGACTCCAAGTCACTTGACCAGGCTCGCACAATGAGTGATAATCAGAACCAGGACTTGATCCGCAGTATCTCTGACTTCAAAACCCGTCTGTGCTCTGGGTCACTGAGGGTCACCAGGCTACTCCACTCGGAATATTCTCCTTATACAGTCCATGCCTTTGCTGATGAATACCAGTGGCAAGTTCTCATGTAAACTTTTCGCCCAGGCACCATTCTAAGCAGTGCACAAGTATTGACGTATCTAATCACGTGGCAACTCTTCGAGGTATCATCCCTGTGAGGTTATCACCCCCGTGTCACAGAGGGGGAAACTGAGGCCCCGGAGGTGAATTCGCCCAGTGCGACACAGTCAGGGGCAGAGCTGGCGTTTACGTCCGGTGGGTGAGGCCCCGGGATCTGTGCTCCTACCCACTGCACCCACCTGCTGCCTCTCCTGCTCCCCAAGGGCCCTTCTCTCTCTCCAAAGGTGGCATCTTCCCTGGGTCTCCCTGAAGAAAAAGGG